CCTTCTCCAGTGACTGCTCCCTCCTGACAATATGCCAAGGAGCACTCTGGCTGCACTTTCTCCAACACAGATCTGTTGGTTCTTTTAGCAGCCCATGACACTTGTGACTGTTAATCAGTTTTTATCTGGTTGGTTGGTTTTTTTGTGTGCTCCTTTTCAGTCCTGGCATTCTGGGTGCTGGTATTCCTTGACTGTTTTGATTCATTTACTGACAAACCGGTTTTGTGCTATCAGTTGTTGTTAATCTTTGTGGCTGAATCGCTTCATAAACACACCTTACCTCTGGTCTGAAACCAGGACCCTTTAATGGTCAGTAAGAGAGTATGGTTACGAATCGGGCTGCGAACCTTAAGGTCAGCGGTTCGAAACTACCAGCCGCTCTGCAGGAGAAAGATGAGGCTTTCTATTCCCATAAAGATTTACACCCTCGGAAACCCTGTACAGGGTCGCTATGGGTCGGAACTGACTCGATGGCACTTAACAACAACAACAACAAGTGAGTATGGTGGCTCTGTAGGGTAAGCAATGGACTGCAAATTACAAGGTCTGCGGTTCAAGTCCACCAGCTGCTCTGTGGGAGAAAGATGAGGTTTTCTGCTCTTGCAAAAGATTTACAATCTCAGAAACCTCATGGAGGGTTACTGTAACAACAACAACAGTCAGTAAAGGTGTTCTAGTGGCAGACTAGGGTTTCCCTGACTCCTGGTGTGGCGCTGTAGAATCACCACTGAACGACTCCTTGGAAACAGGGTCATTATGAGTTGAAACTGACTCGATGGTACTTAACAACAACATAGGGTTTCCATGCTGTAAATCTCATCTCTCTCCCATGAAGTGGCTGGTGGGTTCGAAGTGCCAACATTTTGGTAAACATCCCAACTTTTAGCCCACAGTGCCACCAACAAATGCACACTCACACCAGCCCTCCCCAAAACACAGACATGGTAGGTACTTGAGGAAGCAGGCCCTCCAAAAAATTCATCACAAAGCCAATTCATGAAACAACTGATCTGTTGTAAGGTCAATTTGCAAAACCTTGCTTCTAAGTACTTTCTTCTTGAATAGATTTAATAAATGTGAATTTCTTCTCCTTGTCCATCTTTTAGCAGCATTTAAGAAATGGTCAAATTGATGAAAGCTATACTGAAGATGTGGTTCAAAAGAATAATCTTCCATGTTCTAGGCAAATACGCCAGGTTTGGAAAATGGTGGTTATTCAGTGAATTGTTTTTGGAATTTTAAGTAAACTGGCTGTACACTATTGACTTCTGGCAAACTGATGGTGGTGGTGGTATGCTGTTGAGTCGGTTTTGACTCATAAAGACCCCATATAGGGTTTCTGAGGCTGTAAATCTTTACAGGAGCAGAAAGCCTCATCTTTCTCCCACAGAGCAACTGGTGGACTTGAACAACTGACCTCTTTTGGCTAACAGCCCAATGCATAGCCCACTACACTACAGCGTTCCTTTCAGACAAACTAGCTTTCAACCAATTATACTTAATTGAACTGCTGTTGTTTTTAAGTGTTGTCAAGTCAGTTCTGACCCATAGCGACCCTGTACAGCGTTTCTGAGGAGCAGCTGGTGAGCTTGATCCACCGACCTTGCAGTTCAAACAGCTTTAACCTACAGCACCACACCAGGACACCTTAACCGAACTAGAATGGATTAAAGGCTTCTAACTCAACAGACTAAATTCATGTTATGCAAAAAAATATTAAATATATGTGGGTGTTTCAAAAAAAAAATTTTTGTGGAAAAATGGAATGAAAAGCCCCTGACATTTTCCACGAATTTTTTTGAAGCCCTCTCACGCAGGGTAGGTGCTTGAGCACCATTTTCTAACTCACCTAAAAGCATCATGGTGGTTGTTCTGGAAAAGGCCGTCATAACCATTCCCCCTGCCGTGGTGAACAGTCCAATCAGGGCCAAGTGAATATCTTCCATGCAGTAAGAAAACAGCCATATGCCCAAGAAACTACTTGCAAAGGAGACACTCCCCAAAGCCGACCCGTAACCTATAAAAACTTCATCCCAGCAGAGCGGTGAATCCAGTTCGTAAAGGACAAAAATCGGCGAAGTGCCGACAATCACCAGAAAATAAGCGATCATTGTGAAAAGCAACAGACAGAGCAAGGACTTGCGCCGCCCAGAAGTGTTCTTAAAAAGCATGTAAGTTTGGTAAAAGAGGTTTCTCAAGGCTTCGCGGCAGGACAGGGAAGTGTGCTGAGATGGGGTTTCTCTCACGGGAACACCCAGGAAAAATAAAATGTAGATCAAATTAACAGCGATGACCAGCGTGACAATCAGGAACGACCAGATGAAGCCTAGTCCTCTAATAAAATAACCAGAGGACAGGGCCGTGAGCCCCGTAATAAGCCCGAGTATGAAGTCCACAATCGCTATTCGAATGGTCTTCTGTTTCTCTTCTTTGCACTGATCCACTATGTAGGCAAAGCAGGCACCCCAAAACGTGGTGTAATTGCCACAAAGAGCACCGATAAAGGTAGATGCGATCAAAAGCTGGAAAGGGAGAGCAAGATAGGCCAGCAAACAGAGCCAAACACTAGTGGCAAGAGAACCCACGGTAGACAAGACCAAAGGAAGCTTCCGTCCTTGGTGATCGCTGGTGGCCAGGAGTATGTATGTGGATACCAGCCCGGGAATCAACCCGCTGAGATCCAGCTGCAGACTAAAGAGAGATGCTTTCTTCTGAACTTCCTGCAAAGAAATCAGAAGAAATGTCTACAGACAGTTCATATAACAGACATCCTACAGACAGTTCATACAACAGACATCATACTGACAGTTCACAGAGCAGACATCATACAGACAGTTCACACAGACATCATACAGACAGTTCATACAGACATTATACAGACAGTTCACACAGACATCATACAGACAGTTCATACAACAGACATCATACAGGCAGGTCATACAACAGACATCATACAGACAGTTCATACAACAGACATCAAGATAATCCCCCTGCCAACCCTTCCTGGTATCACCAGCTGCCTGTGGTTGGGAATTCAGGAATAGGGGTCATAAACAGCTTACATCTTCATCTGCATCACAAAGCCAATATTAAGAGAACTATAAGGGTTTCAAGAAGTTTGTGGAAAAATTCCCACATCTTTTCATTCCATGTTTTTACATGCATTTGGAAGTCCTATCGTAGAACAACTCTTGGTCATAATATTCAAGTACCGAGATGGAGACTTTCATTCATAAACAGATAAAGGTGTGTATAGATGCTGTGCCTGTGTTTTCTTCGTATATCTGTCCTTTTGAGTATTGGTCTTACATAAAGGGTCTGTAGGGAACATCTCCCCCAAAGACCCCAAAGCTTCTGGTACGGGTCCTACAATGATTCTTCTTTCTTCTTATTGGCACAAAAAGATCAGGAACCTGTATTCTAAAGCAAGAGCAAAACCCTTTTCTACGACACATGGTCCGATCCACTGAACAGGAGGCTGGCTGAGATACACACACACACTCCTTGCTTTATAGAATTGTGTGTAGGGAAGAGCTTGACGGACTTGTGTGTAGGGAACAGCTTGGTAGAACTCTGAGTACGGAGCAGTTTGACCGCTCTTTTTACAGACATGTCTCCAGAAATAGAGAGTGAGAAACGTATTCCCTTGTTTATTAAAGAAAAGAAAATGAAACAGAAAGCAGAGCTTGGTATCAACCAGCACTGGCAAAAACTAAGGTGTAAAATCAGCTCAACCAATACCCCAGAAGACCAAGACAGAAAACAAAGCACAGAGGTTGCACTGGTTATTGGATGGGAAGAATTTGGGGTAATTTAAAAACACATTGGCTTGCCGCTCCTCTATGCTTTGCAAGTTTAGTATAAAGAGAATGTGCCATTTTTATCATAAGAAGTAGTAAGTTCATTAAAATGAAGAGTGATGGATTCATGTGCTATCTAGAAAGCATCCTGTCTTAGTTTCATAGTTCTGCTACAACGGAAATACCACAAGGGGGTGGTCTTAATGAACAGAACTTTATTTTCTCAAAGTTTAGGAGACTAGAATTTCAAATGCAGGGATCTGGCTCTAGGGGAAGGTTTTCTCTCTCTGCTGGCTCTGGGGAAAGGTTCTTGAATCAACTTCTCTATCACCAACAGTAAGTATACACACATGCACACATACACAAATACACATTAACACACACAGTCGGTTCCAACTCATAGCGACCCTGATTAGGGTTTCCAAGGAGAGGTTGGTGGGGTTGAACCGCCAACCTTGTGGTTAGCAGTACAGTGCTACAGTACCACATCAGGAGTGGATATATATATGTGTATGGGGGGGTAGCATAATGGGTTATGAGTTGGACTGCTAACTGTAAGGTAAGGAGTTCAAATCTACCAGCCACTCTGCAGAAGAAAACTCAGGTTTGCTGTTCCTGTAAACATTTACAGCCTGGAAAAGTATACAGGACTGCTATGAGTTGGAACTGACTCCACAGCACACAATCATCACCAGTACCAAAAAGTCTATGTATATTTCTGTGTGTGTGAAAACATACATGGATAAGTCCAAAAGTATTGCTGTAAAATCACAGAAAACTTTAGTAAACAAAATATTAAAATGTAAAGCCAGTTTTTGTTGACATATTCTCCATCTAGGTCTATACACTTCTGAAGAAGTGTTTCCATCTCTTTAACCCTTCCCCTGGATTATTAACCACAAGGTCGGAGGTTCAAACCCACCATCTACTCCTTGGAAACCCTATGCAGGGTCACTATGAACTGAAACCGACTCGATGCCACTAACAACAACCTTTCCAGAGTCTTGGTGTGGCACTGTAAGATAAACACTGGACTGCTAACCACAAGGTCAAGTGGTTCAACACCACCAGCCACTCCTCAGAAACCTTACACAGCACTTAACAACAACAACTCTTCCCCAGAGAATTCTGTGCTTTTCGATTCACACCATGTCAAAACAGCCATTTTAGCATCCTTGTTGTTGTTGTTAGGTGCCACGGAGTCGGTACTGACTCATAGCAACACACAGCAGAACGAAACACAGCCCGATCCTGAGCCAACCTCACTACAGTTGCCATGCTTGAGTCCATCGATGCTGCCACTTGGCCAATCCATCTCGTTGGGGGTCTTCCTCTTTTTCTCTAACCCTCCACCTTACCAAACATGATATCCTTCTCCAGTGACTGGTCCCTCCTGACTCAACAGCATGTTTTTTTGAAATATTCTTTGAGCTCCGGGAGCAAAAGAGAAGTCTGCAGGGGTATGATCAAAGCTGGAGGTTGGATGGGTAAGATTTCGTGAATGAAATTCTGCGAGGACAGCTCTTGCTACTCTGGAAGAATAAGCAGGCTCATTGTTGTGATGGGAAAAAATTCCTCGGCACATTTCCTGGCCTTTTTTGCACCAGTGCAGTCTTCAATTTTCTTCAGCTTTCTTCATAATAAGCCCCTTGTATATTTTGAGAAAATCTATCATGTTGACCCCTTTGTTGTTGCTAAGTGCTGTTGAGTTGCTTCCGGCCCATAATGACCCTGTATAAGATTTCTGAGGAGCAGCTGGTGAGCTTGAACCACTGACCGTACAATTCAAATGACTTTATAATCTGGCGCATTAACCCACAGTACCACACCAGGACCCCTTTGGTGGTGGTGGTTGTGTGCCGTGGAGTCAGTTCCGACTCATAGCGACCCTACATAAGGTTTCCGAGGCTGTAAATCTTTATGGGATCAGAAAGCCTCATCTTTCTCCCACGTAGCAG